GATATAAAGGTGAGTCATGCCAATTTGTTTGTATCGAAGAAGTAGCCCTTCGTGTTACTCGGTGACCCAAAAGTAGCTCTCAGTCTCAAAGTTTGGTGACCCCTGTTCAAGAGGAATTATACGTTTTTGTCTTTTGTTTTGTTAACAGATTTTTTTTGTTATATGAACTTATTCTAGAAAAAAGGGGCAGATAAGATTTTTTTTCTTCTCTCTGCTGCCTTTCATTTCATTTTATTTGTGATTTTGATATACGGGTACATATATTTTTCTCTCATTTTTCTTTTTATAGTATATAAAATTATTTGTTTTGTTTTAATGAAATGAATAAAGCAGTGTCTGCTGTGCGTCACACAGAATCATCCCCAAGCAGAGGATTGCAACATTCACATCGTTTCCTCTTAAACGCAGACCACAATTTCTGACCCATGGTTTCAGTTTACAGAAATTTTAACAAACTTTAAAAACAAAAAACTGAACAAGACTCAGACAAAAAAATACAAACAAAAAACTGCCATTTTCTTTAGACATTTAGAAATTTTCCATTGCAGCTGGGATGTCAGAGATGATTTCCTGAGTTTTTTGCTAAATTAAAAAGTTCAAGTTTCAAGTTTTCAAGTTTCAAAATCTAAAGAAGTTAGATTGTTAAGTTAAAAAGTCAAATGAAGACACGTCTTTGCTTTTATCTAGGGCATACAAATGTTTTTTTAGTGTAAATAGTGTTTAAATAAGATTTTCCGGGCTGTCATTTTTAACTGCCCACCTGCACATCCACTCTGTCAGTTGTTGCTCCGCCTCCTAGCGTTATCAGAAAACATGGCAGCTGATACCCAGCATGCAATACAGCTAGGGTTGGGCAATATTGTCAAAAACATTAATCACGATTAATCGTGGTATTTAGCCGATAACGATTAATTTGTCGATTAATCCCCCGGAGTCCCTGGACACCCTTATATCATAGTCACTTGACCAATTTATAGGGAGAAAATTGGCTCTTCGTAAAAATCTGTTCAAAATTGTGTCAAAATTACAAACTTCAGGCTGTACATCAAACTTTAAACTGTGTTGATAGATAAATAAATTACACAACTTTTTTTAATGTTCATCATGTTTGAAGGGGAGAGGAGCACCAAGCAGTTAGTCTGCCAGGTGGCATTAATCGTATTAATCGTCAACTGCCAAAAATTAATCGATTAATGTCTTTCTGACAATTAATTGCTCACGATACGATTATGCCCAACCCTAGATACAGCGTGACATTTTCCCCATTTTCACAAATTTTACCTCTAAAGGAGATATTTTTATCTGTGATCTATGAAGCATTTTGAGTTCTGTCGACTTACGTTGTCACATCACATATTTAGGTTTGGTTTAATATCTGTGTTGAAGTTTAGTTATTGACTGTAAGTCGTTAGATTTTTAGAGGAATAGAGGGGGAACTGAACGCTTGAGGTTTATGCTCAAAGACTAAACCCAAGAGCGGTCAGACTATTTTTGTTTCCATAATATGTGAACTAGCAGGTCAGCTTTAGCTCCCACCATATTGTTTTTATCAAGTTAGCTTGTTATTAGAACTAAGAAACTTGTGTTGTGGTTTAGAGGTTAGTGAAGCTAATGTTTTGGTTAGCTGTGCACATCACTTGTAATAATCTCAGTCTGCGACTTTTCAAAGCTTATTGTGTGAATTACCCAGAGCAGCTACAGTGGAAGGAGCAGAGCTCACAGATGTGTTGTTGAACAGATCAGCTGGAGCAGTGGACACGTCAGGAGTGGTAAACAGTTCGGCTCCAAACAGGTCACTGGACGCAGACTTTACATAGAAAAAAATAAATTAATTTGATGCATATTCTTACAATATCTTTCAAAGGATGACCAGCTTGTAACAATTACGCATGCGTTACTAAAACCTGTTTACCTGAAAATGGTTGCTCGTGCATGCCTTGCCACTTACCCGTGCTTTTGTCATTGAAGCATGAACGTTAGGAGAAATACGAGCACAGATGAGAAAGTGTTTCTCAGCAGTACAGCAAACATACCAGCTATTCAAGCAGAAGCAGCATTTGATCACCAGTGCAAAGAGACAGAACAGATCGATCCACCTGCACACCAGGTGCAGGTGGAAGTCTTCGTACAGCATCTGTACCCAGATCACCAGTGGGGCATAAAAAAATAAAATAGAGCCAAATGTGCTGCAAACCCATTGTTTCATGCAACCCCACTAACACAGCTGGCTGTGTGGTGTCACCTTTGCACTCCTTCGACCACGTCCAGACTGTGGAGGCGGACTTATGACAACAGAGTCCGTGCTTTGAGTTGTTGGTGGTTCTGGATGTGTTGTGTCATTAGAGATGGGGCAGGTTGAAGAGAAATCAAAAAAAGGATTTCTGGTAGAGAGTGTCGGCTGACTCTCATTCCCATCCATCATGCTTATTGCAGTGCCTTGAGTTATACTGCCCCCTAGTGGCCACTGACCATTACTGAGAGCGAGGATCATGGATTGACTTGATAGCCCAGTTATCTGCTGACCAGGATGCTCCGCATCTCCAGTAACAGTCTTATTGGTGCTGAGGGAGGGGGGTGTCGTATCTGATACAAAACTAGGCTTAGAAAGAGGGTCGTCTTTAAACGGGTCACTGTCCAGGGACGGGAAGTACCCAAAAGTCGAGGACAAGGAGGTTTCTTTGTGGGACAGCCCCTTAGAGTCAGGAGCACAGGAAGTTAGAAAGAAGTTATCCTTTATGACGTTTTGATTGCTGTCAACTTCAGCAGAGAAGTCCAGCAAAAGAACGTCATTAGATTCCTGGTTTACATGAAGAGGAGGTGGGGGGTGTGGGGGGAGAGGACAGTGAGACAGAAAACATGATTTGTGAATCAGTTCTGCAGGATTACAAACAGATGTTAATAAAAATGAATCAGGGTGTGTATTTTCAAACTGCTACCAGTGGAATATTTACACCAAAGTACCACAGCTGTGATCAGACAAATCAAAGTTTCTCAAGTTTTGAACGGCAGAAAAGGTTTAATAAAAGGCTTTTCATTAGACCAGCAAAAATTTAAGTTTTTTTGAGCAAAAGTGAAAAGTTTAAAATGTTTATTCAACTTGTAGCAGATTCAGGATTAAAGACAATGGGCCTCATTCAGGAACATGTTCGTATTCTTCTCCTAAATTTCTCTTACTTTTGTTCGTACAAAGGGTTCGTACGAACATGTCACGTCAGATTCAACAAACTCTTCTATCTTCAGGAAAAGTGTGTAAATGAGCTGCGTAAATTCACCTGTTCTATTCCAGCTGCTCGTGCACGCGAGAGGAGATTAGCATAATTACCACCCCAAAAACACCATATAAGGCTGTGTTTCCTGCCTCAGATATCAGGAAGTGTCCATTCATGAAAATGACAGTGAAAACTAAAAAGAAGAACTTTACGAGTTCAGAGATTGAAGTCCGTCTGTCAGAGATCCAGAAAAGAAAATCTGTCATTTTTAGCAGGTCAGCTGTGGAATAAAAAGAGCTGCTAAAAGTATAAACAACTGTGTTAAATCATTTTCATTTATTCAGAAGACACCGTCGTGCACCGTACACCACCCCAGCGCGGTCTCAAGTGGTCTCAGTTGCGGTTCTGAAATAAGCATTTTAAAATGTTTTCAAAATATTTCAGGCCCTTTGGAGAAAATCCAGGACTGGGAACGTCTCAGAGTCCCCCAGGACGAGCTGGAAGGTGTCGCTGCGGAGAGCGGGGTCTCCTGCTGCCCCCCACACCCGATAGCCGATGAGCCGGACGGACGGACAATTTATATTGTTAGTCTAAATTATTACATTTAAAATTATAACTCTAATTCAAGCAGAATAGCCTATTGTCAACATAATTATGGAGTGTGATTTATTTTCAACTCAAAATATCTTCAAACTAATGAAATATAAAGTTATTAGTGAGGAAAACCCGTCTGGATAACAGCAGACTGACTGCTGGTAAAATATACGACAGGTCTGGACCACTCCTGAATTTTGTTCGTATCTGAAAAAAATCTTAGAATATGAAAACATTGGTGAATGCCACAAATTCTCCTAAATCACTCGTACGCACAACTTAAGAACAAATCTGTGCGAACGAACGGTTCTTGCATGAGGCCCAATGAGACAACTCAATTCTTAAAAAGGATTTTAAACAGAAAAGTTTGGTCATTTTGAAGTCTGCTTCGCTGTCAGTGCTCGTTTATTGAATGATCCGTTTGGAAAAGCTCATTTTGACAGGCGTAAACTTTATTTCTTCAAACACGCCACCAAAAATAACACTAACATTTTTACTAGGGGTGCACTGATACAGATATTTGTCTCGGGCCAGAAACCAGCATTTTTACAAATACTTAATATGTCCCAATACTCTGAACACTTTTTTTTCCTGACGTTTACATTTTAAAAGCAACCTCCAGTAGACTCCAGTGTGGTTTTATGTCGTCAATGCAACACGCATGCACAGTAGATGTGATGTCAGTTAGATTGGGAGTAAACAGGTGGCTACATGTTAGCATGTTGATTCTGAAGTTATGAATATTAAAGCCAATTAAATAATCTGACATGCTTGTTTAGTTCACCATTTACATTTTAAGCAGGTTTCTGCTACTATGTTTGTGAATTCTCAGTCATATAGGACATGAAAAATTAAAGAAAAAAGATGAAGCAACTGGATTTCTGTTCTGTAGCTGAAGACGTGCGGAGTTACAAGATTTAAACTGCATAACTCCAAGTTAGTTATATTACTTGGATTAATCCGTTTATCCTCACCTCACAGATGTAAAAGTCTTATGAAACGTGACTTTTTAGACTTGAGGTTCGCTTTAACAAACATCAGATATGCCTCTGATTTAGAACCAGGTTCCAATTTTTAAAAAGTATTTATATAAACACTGTGTAATGTTTAAGTTGTAACAGTAAGTACTCAGTATCGGCGAATACCCAAACTGACGTACTCGTCACGAAAAAAAACAAAGGTATCAGTGAATCCGTAACAGTTACCATTGAATTTGTGTCTTTTAGCAAAATATCCTATGAACCAGTCAACTAGTTGTAATAAAACATGGAAAGTTCTTCTTTAAATGGGAATCAAACTTTTGCAGAGTTGTAACATAATTAAGTACAAATACCTTGTTACTGTACTTAAGTAGAAATTTCAGATATCTGTACTTTACTTGAGTAATTAATTTTCAGCATACTTTTTACTTTTACTCGTTACATTTTTACACAATTATCTGTACTTTCTACTCACTACATTTTTACAAAGGTAAGAAGTAGAAAGTTGTTACTCCTGTTTTATTCTGAGTTATTATAAAAATCCTCTCCTGATAAACTGTGTCTCCTATAGAGTGAATTTAATTGTGTTTGGATGAGAAGTATAAATATATAGGTTTGCAAAAGTATTCATACCCCTTGAACTTTTCCATATTTTGTCACATTACAAC